GCCTTGGATAAGAAACAGTAAAATAGGATGTAAAAAGCTTTATATCGAATTAAATTAACTGATAGCATATAAAGACTTTAGATTTGATCTAATAACCATTTGCAATTCAAGGTTAGTTAAAAATTCCAGGATATGTAACATTTAGAAAAGACATATAAAATGGAATAGCAGGAGGGAGACCCTAACAATAAAGAATTCTCTTCCTCAGAGCTCTATTAATGTATACAGTCCAAGTAGAACATAGAAGTTCAAGAAGGCGATTCACCACCACAGCCACCAAGAGAAAATAGGAATGAGCAACAAATGCTGACTTTGTGATGTTCACATCCCATGAACAAATAAAAACGGTGTGTACAGGAAAGTGAAGTTAAGGGAGGCTATCAGCCAGGAACTTACAAAATGGCACAGTGGCAAAATACCTACAGCAGCAGCTATTTATTTTGCTTGATAGTCTTGGTACTATCTTAAATGCTGCAGAAATCTAAAGTACTGCAATGTGGTCATAACCAGAATAGTATTGTCTTGCGTCCAAAGTGAAGCTAGTTACTCTAATTAGTGCTTTTCTGTTAGAATTTTATGAAATTACTAGTTTCTAAAGCAGAATTTTTGAAAACTTGAATTGTAATTGTGTCATGGTCCTCTTTTGTTTGTAGCCATTGTGTTGAGAATCTTTTGATGACTCTGTTTTCCTTTCTAAATTCATAATTAATAGTATTCGCTGCCAGTCTTTGCTCTTTATGGCAATGTTCCGATTTAAGAAGGATACTGCTTTGAAATATTCAAGGACTTTAACTGAACATTTCAAGGTAAGCACAGCAAGGAAAAACTGAGTGGATTTGTTAGCCTCTGCATAGATCGCTTGGCGTGACAATACACGTGTTTTCGGGTTACGTCAGTTAGGCATTGAGTGTTGACAGAAGTTTAGTCATTCCACCGCTAACCTTTCCATGTACACCACTTAGTACAGACCTATACACGAGTTAGATAATGTTATCAAAACCTAATCTAGCTAATCTCGCTCAATGCAGCAGTTGGGGAAAGAGAATTTGTGATCCAAAATATTACCATCTGACTTCTCCCAAAAAGTGCAAAATTAGCTAACAAATGGGTGCAGGCTCAAGTTTAGCATTAATACCCCTCCGTGGTCCAGTGTCATTTGTCTAAGCTGATACCTGCAGAATGACTTTTGGGGCAAAGCATCAGAATGTAGTTGCCACATGAGAAACAGTACACCCAACACTAGTCCACATACTCAGAAGAAAAGAAGGGGGATTTTAAAAAAAATTGTTTGCTGACCTCAAGAATTTTGCAACAAATTGAATGAATGTTTTTCTTGTGTTCCAGAGTTCTTCTAGGACGGCTCAAGCTCCATCTCCTTGTGTTGCCAGGTAATGAGTGCATGCAGTTGTAATGTTGACCCCATTAAATCAATACTTTAAATATTAATAAGTAAGTAATTAGCTACTATCCACCAAGGACCGAAGGCAAGACAAATGAATGGTTCTGTGTAGTTCTAGCTAACTATTCCAGGACCGGGGGGTGGGCAAGGCCTTCATGAATGGCCACAGAAATTTGAACCCCTGCTGTAGGTCTAATTCTGTGTTGTGTACCAGCCATCTAGCCAACTGAGCTAATCATAACCTGTCCCTCCCAAATTGCATTGTCTAAAATATATTTGCTAAAATTATAAGTATTGCTGCCATATATCTGGCTTATTCTCCATTAATCAACTGTGAATTAAAGAAGTTAAATTATCCACCAAATTACCAGTATTGATTGTTCAGTTTGAACTTAGTCCACGTAGTTGGTACATGGTGTTCATGCTGGCTGCTATTACCCATTATCCATCAGCAAAACATGATTAAGTCATTCTAGTCAACTCTACTACTCCCAACGATTAATAATCTGCCAATGAGTTCTCACTGCTAAGACTTCCCTGATGTCTGGACTTCGTGGATGTGTTATATTCATTTATTTACAAAATGGACTTGAAATTGTTGACTGCTCTAGTCCATTTGTTTCACATTTTAAGAAATCGGGTGCAGTGATTTTTTTTTGTTTGCAGAGGTGGGGTTTTGTGTGGAACACTGAACGAGAAACTTACTGGACAAAGGATGACGTATGTTTACTTATGTTTACCTTTACGATTGGCCCTAATTTCTTTGTTTTTCTGTTCAGAGGTACCGGCACACCTTCTCCACTGTCTCAGACACCATCCCCTGCCAGCTCCGGAGGTTCCCAGCCAGGATCTAGCTCCGGTAATGGTGCAAGTGTTGCCATTCCACACATGATTCATCAGCTGGCTTCCAACTATGTCAGCATTACTTCCATTTTCCTCCATGGCCATGACCTTTGGGAACAAGCAGATGCACTAGCGAAAAAAAACAGGGGTAAGAATACCTAAGCTAATGGGGGCAGGGAAGGGTTTTCTTGTATCTGATTAAAGGACCTTTAACCCCCACTTTACTATTTATCTCTTAAGTGTTCACATGCCTAATGACTTAAGTTACTAATTGCATGAGTTTTTAAAATTAAATGGCAGGTGTGTTTGTGCTGGCTTTTAAAATGCTTGATTAATTTTGTGATTATAGGCTACTATGTAGTACAAGTAGATAACTGCTCATGTAATGTGAAGTCATAACTTATTTATACAGAAGTTATGTTAAGTATCCAGGCATAAGAATCTATTCTTGACTGGCATTGCAAGTAAAATTTCAGTTCTTTGTTCTATGTGTTGAAATGTGGTCAGATTGTTGTAGTAGAGTTTATATAAATTAGTTAACTTTTGAGAGGAACTGATCAAAAAAAACGATGAGAGAGTGGGAACCTAAAATATTCAAATTTGTTTTCATTTGTTTGTTTAAAGATTCCTTCTCTTTGCATGGTTTTCAAATCTTACTTTACAATTCCATTTCCTTAGTGAGGTCTGTTTCTATTACGCTCCATGAATGTAACTTTTGAATTCACACACAAGTTGCAAAGACTGAGAGTAAAATGTCTCTGCATTTGAATTAAATTACTTCGGATAAACGGTTTGCCGAATGGGCATAGCCTGAATCTCATTGTGTCCCACTTTAGTCCAGTTAGCCTGCTTACCAGGAAACATTTACAACCTTGTTTTCGTTTTTGTCTCTTAGAATTCTTCGCAGAGCTTGACGCAGCAGTTGGCCTTTTATCCCTGACCAGCAGCATGACTGAACTTGTACACTACACCAGACAAGGTTTACATTGGTTGCGACTGGACACTAAATTACTATAACAAGATGCTGAAAATCGTTTTGACATCAGCCAGTTTGTCCTTCAGCACCAAAGCCACGGCTGTCCAGTGTTTTTTTTTATTTTAATGAGGAATGATAAATGTAAAGGTGTCTCTGTGCAGCAGAAACTTTAATAATGTAGGTCAGCACTGAATTTCCACAAAAATGAACCGGCTGAACCTTCACTTCATGAACAAAAGTGCAATTTTTTTTTCTCTTGACCCTTGTGGAATTGGAGGATTAAAACACGGTCTTCAACACTATTTTTGTTGAAGTAACCTTGAAGGATAAAGGGCTTGAAAGGAACTCCTATTGGCCTGTGTCCTGGTCAATAAACAAAGTAGCTGTTGCCTTCTCTTAACTTTCTGGCAACAGTATACATATTGTGCATTAGCTGCTTTACATTTGGATAAAGATATAGCAGATAAAGAATGTTGTATTCAATCACAGGAACATTGTTGCAATGATTTCCTGGACAGCCCTTTAACACAGTACCTAGAGGACAAGGTACATCCAGGAGGTTAATATGCAAGTGTTTAAAGTGTCCAACTGTTAATTTTATTCGTAAATTAGGAGCTGTGAAGAATAACTTTAATTTTCTTTGGATTTTTTTGCCCCAGTTACATCTATATTTACTGCCTTTACTTTTGTATTTATTAGAAATTTGTTTCTTTTCCCATTGGACCCAAGTATTGCTGGCAAAGCATGATTAACAGAACAAAGTAGTGTAATTTTTTTTGGTGTAGGGGGTTTGGGGAGGAAGGGGGAGAAGAGGTTGATGGGCGTTGCCTGCCCTTTATGTAGCTCAGATCAAAGCCATGTGTAGCTTTTCCCGGAACAATCTATTAATGTTCGGTGTGCCTTAGACATTCTACTTTGTATGTAAGTAGTTATTTCTAGCCATAGACAAATTGCTGCTTTAAGGGTCTGGAGTAAGGAAAATATGAATGGTGTGTTGAAAAGTGGTCAAATTCCTATAATGTGAGTACAATTTAGTTCTGTATAGTTGACCTTGTGAGAAATGAGGATTTGACATAGATCATTATTTCATCATTTTCTGTTCCCTGTACACCAGACTTGTCCTGAGTAAAGGTGAGCAAACTGCTTGGATGTATAATTACCCTTTTGGGGCAATTTTCTACCTATTATTTTATTTTTATAAATAGGGAAATGTGATTTTCTTGCTGTGAGGGGTGGGTGGGGGAAGAGAAAATATTTTCCAAAAATGTTGCCACTTTCCGATTTTAGTTAAAACCTACTTGGAGCAGGATTTTTTTCAGAAAATGCTGAAAACCTGATAGCAATATATGGATTTAAAGGATCTGGGGGAGGGGGGAGCCCAATCCATTTTTTGCTCACCTCTAGTCTTGATAATGCTGTGAATAACCTTGGCCAGCTACCTGAATGGGCCCTGTAGAGTCAAATTCTAGCGTACTGCAGCTCGTGCTGCTCAAAGTTACTGGAATTCATTATAATTTTATTTGAAATTGTACTTGCACATATATATTTTTGCTGATGAAATTGCTGCAGAAATGCTCAAGAGTCTATGTATTATATACACAGTAAAACCCATATGAAATAGTAAAAACCAGCACTGGCGGATCATTGAAATGAATGGAAAAAGGATACTCATGTGTTGACATGTTGAGTATCGTGTCTATATGTTGACAGTTTCAAAACTGTTCTAATTATCACCACCATGAAGAAATCTGCATAATTCATTAGGTGCCAAAGTGGATTTTGCTTCTCCCTTTGTATCCCTTCCACAAGTTTCCAAGAACACAGGATACCACAAATGAAGGAGATATGAAAAACCCTAGTTCGTTCTTTTTTAGTCCTTTCGACTTTCAAAACGATTTTCTATTAGCACTTAAAACTTGAAAAGAAAAGGCTGTTGTCAATGTCCAGGATATAATACGTACAGCAAGTGTCAAATAGGTTTAATGCCCTCAACGGCACCATCTGTTTATCCAGTGAGTAGCAGAGGCTTTTAGCGATGCTATTGCTGTCTTCAATACTACATGTTAAGAAAGAACAAATAGCTCCCCCCAGCTGGTCATCACTGTCAGTCAACTTGATCTGAACTGCACAAATAGATAGATGTTCGATGAAGTTGGGATCTGGTCCATACACATACCCTCCTCTAAACCCACTATTATCACAGCTGTACAGCCTTCAAATACTCTCTGTGAGGAATCTTATGACATACCAGAAGGGAACTGGTTTTTGTTTTTGGAGGGGTTAAATTATCCGCATGCAAGTTCATAATGAGTGTGGTTTCCAGACTGAGTATTCAAAAATAACTAGTAATTTCACAGTTAGACTTTTTGACCCTGACCTTCTGACTCCCTTTGTAACTTTAAAATATTCTTTCATAGGATGCATGTGTTGCAGGCTATTCATCCTATGTTGTTCTTAAGTGGTGTCAAGCTAACGCTATTGCTGCAGTCCATATGGCATAGGTACATCCACTGTGCTGTTACGCAGCGAGTTCCAGAATTTTAAGCTAGCTACACTGAAGGAAAGAGTGTTATTTTGGGCACTGTCACCATACAGTAATGTTTGAATACTTGTATTGGCTGTTTGCAGCTGGATTACAGTTGGTTCTCCACTCCTGATTACTTTCCAGTGGTCCCTCTGCTGTAAAGTTTGGTGGGAGCAGTCAGACCTAGCTTCAATGCTTTCCATGATTCAACAGCCCACCAACACTTGGTGTCTTTACTCATATGCTGAGAATGGCTGCCTGAGTGAAATCCCAAAAGTCTGCCAGGACCTTCCTGTGCATCGAGGGAAAATAGAACTTCAAAGAAATATATACTTTTTGCTTTGTTTCTTTCATTGCTTTACTCCAGTTTCAAACAGTTTATTTCTGCTGAGTAACTGGGTGCTGCAAATTGACAGCCATGGTGACCAGTCCTTGAGTTCCACCTTACTTTGGTGTCATTTAACACTTGCTTATGTATCTAATACTGGAAATCCATCATGTCAAATCATAGGTATATAGTCCTTGCTCTGTTTGGCACAGTAGATGTGTATTCTCCTGTGCTGTGTCACTGAATTCACATTATCTGAAAGGAGTCTGCATTTTGAAGTGAAACCGGGTGCCCTGAAGCTAAAACAAATGCCATCCTGCCCTTCCTTATTCTCTTTACGCAAAAACCTGGTTAATCCATTTCTAGATGCATCAGAAGCAAATTCCAAAACACATTATAACCTTGATCTCTTATTAGAGACAGTGTGTAGTTGTACTAAAATGACTACTTTCTTTGTGGTGTTTTGCAAGAGTTTATTGCATTTTTAATTATTTAAGTCAGGCTTTAAGACTTTTTGTCTTAGCAGGTGCAATTTAACATTGGTTGCCTCCTTCTGCTACATGGAGTGTAAGTTAGCTTGAAGAATAGCACAACAATAGAAAAGGAGAGTAATTATCAGTTCGCACATGAGCAGGGGCCAGTTCACAGGTATTGTATTCAACAAGTATTTGGTTACATGCTGGCATGGTGAGCTAAAACTATCACTGGTAAAAATATTCTGACAGATGTTTTACAACTGACATAACATCCATTTCTCTGGTTCCCATTGCTATTTTGAGGGAGATGATTTGCTAAACTGTGGTTCTGTGTGCACAGGCACTCCTGGCACCTTGCATAAGTTGCTGGTCTTCATGTACTTGCTTTCACATTTGTGTTGGCAGTATATTTAATGAATTTGGGAGCATCAGAGCTAAGTCAGGTTTTGTTTTCTCCTGTACCCCTACAAGTACTTTTTTCACAAGTCATTTACATTCTGTTTGGGAGAAATCCCAGTCAAGACAGGAAGATTGATGTTTCAGAATCCTAGACCAGGGTGAAAGAAAAGATGAACTGCTGCCCTAATTAACTCCACAGATCAAGTTTCAAGTTGGGGACCTCCTAGTTTTCAGGTCTCCATTCTACTCCACAGAAAAGTCTAATATTCATTTTTATTTGCTTTCCATTGTTCATTCTTCCTTCCACCACCACCAACCCCCACCAATGTTTTGTTCTGCTTATTCCTGATTCGTGAACATCATTGTGAGCTTCAGTTATTCTTGCAATGTACTTTGGAAAATGGTAACCATGGTAATGACTTTGTAACAGAATTGGTTCCATTTGATTTTTTGCTGCTTCCTCCATTCAGGTCATTGGTTCTGATGAAATTTGTTTTCAAGCTCTCTGAACTATGCCCAACTGTTATCTAGATGTTCACAGAACTGCAAGACTACTTATTTTATAGTTGCTTAGAATTAAATCTCTTGACCTTCACAGACTCATTCTACCTTCTATTCAAAACATAAGAAACATATGCTATCTAATCCATATTCATGTGATGGGTGAAGAGGTGCAGTCCCAGTTTCTCTATAATCCCTTCTAGTGGGGTCTGCTTAGCAGTTGACTGTCGTCTTTGTTTTCCCCTTATTCACCCCACAGACTCTTTGCTGTTTCTACTTCACATCCCAACCAAGTCCACTGAACCAGTTAAGCCCTCATGTGAAAAACTGTGAACATGGAAGACTTTCCATTTTAATGAAGTTTAACAAAAGGTTTGCCAAATCTGATGTATATCTTGCATCTGCCACTCGAGGGAGAGGTTGAGACTTGCAAGGGGATGCTGTCTCAACTTTAAATATCATAACTTGCCCCATCATCTATTTTTGCAGAGGCATCAGTCTATTTAGGATAAGTACTTAGTACTTAAATTTCAAGTATTAATTAAGTGGTAGAGTCTAATATTACACTGGTACTTTAAGGGAAGCATTTCTAGGCTTAAATTTTCTAAACCAAATCACGACGGAAATGTTATCAGGCTGTGTGTATTGCATAAGCTACAAGGTTTGCCTTGTTTAATACAAACGCAGAAAACACAGGGGAAACTCAGCAGGTCTGGCAGTATCTGCGGAGAGAGAAAAACAGTTAATATTTTCAGTCTGTTATGCTTTTCCTTCAGAATGCTGAAGTTCTAAAGAAGATTTGTATCAGACTTGAAACGTTAACTCTTTCTGTCTCCACAGATGCTGTCACACCTGAGTTTCTCCAGCATTTTTTGCTAGTTTCAAACTTCAAGTATCTGCAGTATCTTGCTTTTATTTGTTCTCCTGCATTGTTTATGTATATTTAAACTTCCATTGTTTTCCCTGTCTTTGTATGTGTAAATGATTTTCACTTTTGACAAATTCTTCCTTCCTGCCTTTAAAAGTGGTTTAAAGGTTTTAATTAACCAGAGCAATGAACCAAATTCTAGAAAGGTTCTACCTTTGATTTGAGCCGGCATAAGAGTAGCCCTTGAATTCCTAAGGAAAGAATTGGCAGTGTCCCTGTACTTTCTCCAAGGATCCCCACAAGAAGCCTGAATGAGTAACCATCAGGTATGGAAATAAGCTGATTCTACTGTGATGTCTCAAAATTCAGAAAGAAGTCATTTCCCTGTACCAAGGAATGCTTGTGAATAGTGGCCCCTTGGACAAGGTACAGAGTGATACTCAATCCATGATTCAACACCCTAATAGTAGTACATTGAGGTATATCATGCTTTAAATTCCTTTAACCTCACCCTGTAATGCATTGAAGTAAAGGATATAGATACCACCTAGTTTTGATTTTTAAAAGCTCCTCTCCCAAACCCCATCCCTTTCTTTCACGTGAACAGACTTCAAATAATCGCATTTCTCATGTTACATTATATTCTTTCCAAGCAAAAATCTGTTAAATCTTTTTAAAAAAAAAATTAAAACAGCAAAAATAGGCAAGTTTCTCTTAGTAGAAGGAACAGTGGGTCCAAACTGGTGCTGATTTCAGTTTATACTTGTTGCACAAATGCTTTTGGGAAACTGATAAGATGAAATGAATCACAATGATGAGGGATTTTTGTGTATTTTGTGTGTGAGCGCGTGTGTATTTATTGTGCCTTCATTGACCAAACTTCTCATACTTTTATTTATTAAATATATTGAATGCCAAGCAATATACGTCATTATTAACACTGCATCCTGCCCCATTATCTGTTCTTTAAACTTACCCTAACGGAAATGTCAAATTTCCATTAAAGCTGATAACTCGGACAACTGCTATTTGATGCTTTTGTTAAATACATACTGTTACCTTCATACTGCTGCAGGGCACCTTCCATACTCTTGCACTTTTTCTATTTTACAATGACAGTATTTTCAGTATCAAAGACGTTATGGGACTTGCGTTCTGCTTGTGTAACTGAAAAGAGGAATGTGTACAATATAGCAATGTTTCTCCTACCGAGGTAATAGTTGCTACACAATAACTCAGCCACTTATTTTAGAATGGATTGGGTTCCCATTTATACATTTTGAAAATGTTTGAACTGTTGCATCATTGGGTTCTCATCATGTACAAAGTAATCCTGTGCTTAGTCAAAAGCTCAAACAATGCAGATGCTTATATTTCAGTTTCTGATTTCGGAAAAGAATAAAAACTTTTCTTTTTCTGCCCACTGCCACATTTTCTGAAACGTGATTAAATAGCATTGGTTATTAAATTCTTTATTTTATAATACCTGAAATGTATTCTTTCCTAAATTGAAGTTTGTTTGGTCAGCTTTTTATTTAATATCCATATTAAGTAAGAAATAAAAAAATGGAATTTGTTTATTACCAGATTAATTATGGCATTTTTAAGTATCAGTGATTCAAACCATTATTTGTGAACTATAATTTCCTGAGCTTAACCAGTTTGACTGCAGTCATCGTAGATTCTAAAACATTTTAGGTCATTAACAGTTGATTAGGATTCTGATCTAGAACTGGAATTTGCCAACTGTAGGCGATCAGTCTCTGCAAAGCAATGTACTAACACAAAACCCAAAGTATTATTGGAACACTGATCTGTGCCTGCTTATTGTGATAACGCAAGCTTAACAGGATTTTCTTGTTTAAACAGATGGTATTTTGAGGAAAGCAAAATAACTTTGTAATATTAAGGAAACTTCCAAATGAACCAAATCGTGCATTTGATCTTTGTATTTTAGCATATTTCCATGAAGAATGTACACTCTTTGGGCTTCTGTTAATAAATAGCTCTCTAGTACAATGGAACAATTTACTGCAAATTTGTAGTGAAGTTAATTTAACCTCGACGCAGATGATTATTTCCCAATGAAGGTGTTTTGTTCATTATCTATATCCATCATCTATCTTACATGAAAAAACTGTTTAGCAACAGATTATTCTCTTTGACAGGGAAAACCATGTCAGAGGTTTCCCTGCTTTAAAAAAAAGTTTTTAAAATAAACATATTGTTGTGTGACATTGGCTTTCACTCTGGTGTTATTTCGCTCTCTAAAGATAATGCTTTAAGTGATTGGAACAGTTTCAATCATCTTCCTTCCCCATCCAGCCTTTAGGCTCAACACCTGCACCATTTACTATTCCTAGCAAAGGCATGCTGGCAGGAAACCCACTCCAGAATCTTTGTTCAATGCCCTATCTTAGTCATAAATAAAACAAGTGAACTCATCTTTTAATCCACGGTAAGCACATTGAGCCACGCAATGAATTTTCGTCAGGATAACCAGCTCTGAGGAAGTAAAATAATAAAATGGAGGGGCTGGGCATGCTGTAAGGGGGTGCGAGGGTTGAAAATGGTAAGTTAATCATCAACTCAAATAATTTCTGCATGTATGTCATGTGCTCTCAGAAGGATTTATAACCTTTTTAATGTAGTGTGCTATTGTAGAGGCTGCTTTGCAGATAATCATTATCGTGCTCTGAGGGTAAGGTAGCCAAAGATGATACACCTTGAAGCTATTCAAAATCATGAAGGACCTGGACAGAGTAGATGGGGAGAAACAGTTCCCATTGAAGGCACAAATTTGAGGTAATTGGCAAATGTAGCAATGAGGTCAGGAGTGGTTAGCATTTGGTATGTCTTGCCTGGGAGTGGCAGAGACAGGTTTAACTGAGGCATTCAAGAGGGAATTGGATTAGTATCTGAAGAGGCAGAACGTTCAGGGTTATGCGAAGCAGGCAGGGGAGTGGCATCAGGTAAATGGATCTTTTGGAAAACCAGCGATAGTTGTCACTGTAATCTAGCAAGATTCAACTTCTTGAAGGGAGAAGAAATATCAGTGTCAATCTCCAGTAATAGTTGTAATGCAATATGATTAACTAGTAATTATAGTATTGCTGGTTAGGTTTTACAGGGCCAGCTTGACTTGAAATTAAATTAATAAAATTTTGTTTGCCAATCAGCATGATTTTGCTATTGGTATCAAAGGCTTTAAGTTATATAATGCTGCTTTTGTCTGGCGATGTGCATCCTTTCTTAACTCAAAGGTGCTAGGGCTATTTTGCAGTACCTTCTGAATTAACCCGATATGAGTGATACGAGTAAGGGAAACAACTGGATCCTAGACCAGAGGCAGCCAATAGAGATCAGGAAAACAAACAGAATATTCATTACTTGTACAATTTTTGATTTGATTGACCGCTTTTATCTCACATTTCTCCATTAATCCAAGTATTTAGAGTCACATTTCGGGAACTAATGCTATGATTTTTCTGTAGGGTTGTTTGTCCAGGGCACTCTTGCAATCACCTTTTAATTCCCTGAACTGCAGGGTGTTCCTGGAGGACAGACAGCCCTTGTCTCAGTTGCACATTTGCCTGTACTTGTGATCTTGAGATCATCCCAGGTTGCTGGTCAACAGCTCTCTTGCTGGGTGCAATTTATCTTTTATGGACTTTTTTCAGCACCTACCTCCTATACTAAATCATCAGAGAAGCTGGTGATCACCTCTGTGGAAGCTGCTCCTGTGAATTGATCTTATGGTACTTGAACAATTGCAATAGATATATGCTGAGCTTCAAAAATTGTAGTTGCAGTAATAGCTGAAGCTATAGATTCAAGGTAATGAATATAATAATGTCCAGATCCCTCTGCATCTTGGACCTCTGTAGTTCACACTATTTACATAATATGCTTTTTTTTATTCACCCCCCACCCTGCCCCACCCAAATGGAAAGTTTTGCATTTTGCCACATAGTCCATCATTTGGAATCTGAGTCCTCTTTACAACTTACTTTTCTATCTATCTTTGTGTCATCAACAAATTTGGCGACCATAACATTTTTCCCTTCATCCAAGTCATTTATATAAACTGTAAACAGGTGAGTACACAGCACCAATCACTGTGCTACACCACTTGTTACATCTTGCCAACCTGAAAAAGACCCATTTGTACATATACTGCGCTTCCTATTAACCAACCCCTCATCTTTCCATGATGACATGCTACCTGTTACACCATGAGCTTTTAGCAACGACCTTTGTAGCACTTTTATCAAATGCTTTATGGAAATCCAAGTACAGTATATTCATAGGTTGCCACCCTTTTATCCACAACATATGATGCTTTTGTGTTTATTAATTCATAGGATGTGTTAATTATTTAGTGCCTGTCCCTAGTTGCCTATGCCCTTCCTCAAAAAACTCCAATGGAACAATTTAAACATGAATTTCCTTTCTCAAAACCATGTTGAATCTGCCTTGAGCTTTTCTAAGTATTCTGCTGTAACTTTAAAATCTCCTAATATTTTCCCTGTGACAGATGTTAAGCTAACTGGCCTGTTTTCTTTTCTGGCTCTTCCCTTGTTGAATATGTCTCTGTCTAATGGCACCTCGCACAAACCATGGGAGTTTTGAAAAATTAAAACCAATTCATCAACTATCTCCCATAACAAGGTGTACACCTTGTTAAACACAGCAAGCCAAGCAGCATCAGAGGAGCAGGAAGGCTGACGTTTCGGGCCTACACCTTGTTATCTTGGATTCTCCAGCATCTGCGGTTCCTACTATCTCGATCAACTATCTCACTAGGGTCTTAAATCAGGGTGGAAATGGGAAGGTGTGATAAGGGGTCCTCTTCACCTGCCTGATTAAATGTGCTCACCATCAATCTGCCACAGGGAAGGCACAATATTTCACCCATAGTCTGGAGTGAATGATGAAATAAACATTTTTTTGATGTCTGATATAAAATACAAATGCACTAGGGCATTGTTATTTATTTCTGGATGTTTCTATTCTAACAAATTTTCACCTGGAACATTCTCATTGACCGGGGCTACACTGATCAGATGATGAAATTAATTCCTGAGCATGGAATATTGTCCAATTAGCTTGCAGCATTTAACTTTTATTCAGCCATGGATTTTGCAAGTAATGATTTTTCATTTTAAAAATTTGAGTTTGCAATGAACACCAGTTCATAGACAGTTCCCAGAAGTAGTGAGTCAGTTGTCAGTTATAATTATTACTGGTGATGGTTGGAATTGGTCTTCAATTGGGCTGACTTGGAATGCTGCCTGTTAACATCATGATTCAGGAGTATAGTAGTGTTGAACGTTGGAGAACTACTTCAAACTGTGCTTAATTGAGGTAGTGTCTTCTGCAGGGATTAAGTTACTAAATAATAGCAGCTTCCACCATGTTCCACAATGCTTATTCAAAGTTTTATACCAACTTTGTAAACTTGAGAAAAACAAAAATTTTGTTCGTTGAAGTGAAAAGTTTGTCATTTTGATGGCTTTCCTGTTAATGTGAAGAGTTTTGCTGTTCTGAATGTATTTCAAATAATATGAATTCATGTACAAATATTTGGTCAGCATAAAGATTGCCAAGTAAAATCAGAAAAGAACCTATAGGAAGAGTTTTTTTTTTTAAGAACTTGAACTTATTGAACACCAGCTTCGTAACCTTGGGTGCTCCAAAGAGGTTGATAGGTAATTGAATATGTTACATTAAATTAAAACCGTAAGTTGCAGGAGCAGAAGTCATCTCATGGAGTCTGAGATGGTAGGAACTGCAGATGCTGGAGAATCCGAGACAACAAGGTGCAGGGCTGGATGAACACAGCAGGCCAAGCAGCATCATAGGAGCAGAGAGGCTGACGTTTCGGGCCTAGACCCTTCATCAGAAAAGGGGGAGGGGAAGGGGGTTTTGAAATAAATAGGGAGAGAGTGGGAGGCGGATAGAAGAGGGATAGAGGAGAGGATAGGTGGAGAGGAAACAAACAGGTCGAAGAGGCGGGGATGGGGCCAGGAAAGGTGAGTGTAGGTAGGGAGGTAGGAAGGGGATAGGTCAGTCCAGGGAGGACGGACAGGTCAAGGGGGCGGGATGAGGTTGGTCGGTAGGAGATGGAGGTGCGGCTTGAGGTGGGAGGAGGGGATAGGTGGGAGGAAGAACAGGTTAGGGAGGCGGGGACGAGCTGGACTGGTTTTGGGATGCGGTAGGGGGAGGGGAGATTTTGAAACTTGTGAAATCCACATTGATACCATTGGGCTGCAGGGTTCCCAAGCGGAATATGAGTTGCTGTTCCTGCAACCTTCGGGTGGCATCGTTGTGGCACTGCAGGAGGCCCAGGATG